TATTTTTATGTGTTGGAGTGTTATAGACTCATAATAGTAAGACTTAGAACTATGTTAGTGTGATTTTTTTACTATTAACTTAATTATCTGTAAATAAATGAATTTACCTACAAATATATAATTTCATCATCACATTAGTAGGAACAAATTTTAAATATATTTATATAATATATTAATATATATTTTTTAACTATGTCTCTTCTATTTAATTTGATTTCATATGGATATCTTATACAATTTCCTATTCCTCGGTCTAAGCGACTGCATAATTCGGTATATGACCACGCCTGCATTTTATAGCGTCTTCAAACGTACATACATCGTTGTCCGTAGTAGTAAGTATATAACAAAATTAAAGGTACACAATATTACATTGTATCTTGTTTTGAACAAAGTATGTACTGTCGTTTAGTACTAACTTTGTTTGCGAGAGAATTTCACGTTTGAGCCATAAAGAATTTCCTAATATTAATGTTACGAGCGATTTATATGATCAGTAACATATAAATAGTTGCTAGTATATATTTAGACGCTAAAGTTATCTCTTTTACTTTTTAGTTTATTTTCTTAGGGATCTTTATTCAAAGGAAGAAATTGCTTAGTGATAAGGCTGTCTTCGCTTAAATTATTTAATTTTTTTTTTATACCACTGTGGTAGTAAACAAGAATACGGCTTATCTGATGGGAAGCGGTTACCGTAACCTACGTACGCCTGCAATACCAGGGGTATTATGCGCGTGGTATTGACCCTGAAAAAACCTCTTTACTCTTCTTTTGAAAAACCCCATGCCCAACCCCCAGAGACTATACTCTTGGAAAAACCTCGAATGTAATTTTTATTTTTTTATATCTGGCAAAAATAATAGATTTTTGATAGGTAAAAGTACAAATAAATATTTATTTGACCTCTCTGTGTTCTAGACAATCCTACATCCGTTGTATTGAACCGGGGAATCCAGAAAGTATAACTAGTATGTTTTTCTAGTTATTTTATTATTATTACCATCATCATCATATCAGGCGTTGATTGTCCGCTGCTGAATATAGACCTCTCCCTACTGGAAGGTTTTGCTAGTAGTTTGGCACGCTTGGCAGGCAGATGTTTTAAGAGAGACACTGCTCACTAAGTTCTCTAAGTCGTCTCTCACGACACCTATAGGAAAGGAAGGAATGGTCCATTTAATGCCAGGATCACACGGCAGTATTATTATATACCAAATAAATTTATTTTAATATATACAAATATAACCTATTATTATAATTTACGCGTCGTTCACTATTCATCAGAGGCAGACTTTGTACAAAAGTCGATTGCTTGGGTACCTCTGTCCCATTCGTGTTTCAACCATGAAGCAGTTGTGTTTGTATGGCTGTGTTTCGGTTTGAAGGATGGGATATGGCGTGAATTTATTGGGTACAGAAGAATAACACCTGAGTCCTCAGGAATGGCAACGCTGGGGGGGGGGGGTATCATGGGCGAAACAGTATACTCTGTTATGTCCATGGTACTGCTCATGTCTATAGGCGACGGTTACCACTTTCCATCAAGTGGGCCGTCAGCTTGTTTGCCATTCACATAGACCTTCATGTTTCGTCTCAAAGTACGACCCTGCGCCACTTGCGTTTAGAGACACGCTATAGTGAATGTATTTATAATACTTTTGAGATTGGTCCACACTACGATTACCCGCACGGGGTCGCTCTCGAAAACTATTCTTCTCTATCAGTTATTAGTTAGTCTAGTTATTTATTTTTTAGGTTTCCAGACTAAACCTATCGGTTAGTCGAATAAATTAGTCAATAGTTAAATATAACTTTATTTGTCTATAATTAACTACAAATAGTACAGTTAGTAGAGTCTAAATTAGGTTGCGCTACAGATAATACATTATTTGTCATTCTACACCGGGCTCTCTGTTTATTTTAAGGAGCGTTAATAACACTATATTTGCATGTCGCTGTATGCATTTGTGTGAACGTGATCAGTTAATTGAGTCAATTTGTATGTGTTTTGCAATTCTATCATCTATAATAGACCTATGACGAAGTGGCAAACAATTTATAAATATATGATATTAAATATTTTGTAGAAAAACTTAGATTATAGAGACTCAAAAACGTGTCAACTTTTGTCAGCTAATTGTCAAATTGTAATTGTCGAAAATTGACTCGTTTTTTTATTAGTGTTCTATATACTTACGCACACATATTTATCTTGATGCATCTAAATTTAGTTATCTAATAAATAGAATAATTTTAAATTTAATTATAATTTGCATTTGGCAGACACGACGTACAAACAATTGTGTACTTCATATTGCGTTAACGACTCAATTAATTGACATGAAAATGGATTTTTTTTATAGAACTTAGAACGGCAATCAAGCTGACGGCCTATCTGATAGTAAGTGGTAACCGTCGCCTATAGACATGAGCAGTACCATGGACATAACAAAGTATACTGTTTCGCCCATGATACCCCCATGCGTTGCCATTCCTGAGAACTCGGGTGTTATTCCTCTGTACCCTGTAAATTCATGCCATATCGCATCCTTCAAACCGAAACATAGTCATGCAAATACAACTGCTTTATGGTTGAAACACGAATGGGACAGAGGTAACCAAGCACACGACTTTTGTACAAAGTCTCCCTCTGATAAAATAATTTCACATTTTTGTACAATTGAACTTTTATTTGCAAAAAGCAACAGTTGTGTTTTTTGCCTGTTCTTCTCAGCTAAAATTGTATATTGTACTAAGCGATATATTCATAAAAAAATTATTATTCGAAAACACTTATAATTAAGTTTATTTGGATAAAAAAAATATTTATTATCCCAGTAAATCAGTTTCAAGGTTGCGTGGACGAAATCACGAGTAAGTGTAAGTATGTGTTAAAAATCCCACGATTGAAGTAAATGTTACTTCAATCGTGAAAATTTAATATACGACCAAGAAGGGAGTAAACTCTATTGAGTGAAAAAAAATATAAGGTTGATACGATATCGTTACTGATATCATATATGTGAAAGTGAGTTTGTTTGTTAGCTCATAGCACTTTAATGGCTGAATCAATTACTATAATTACTCTTCTTCATCCAAAGGTTGCCTGGAAGAGATCGCTCTTAGTAATAAGGACGCTCATTGTTTTCTTAGTGTAATATTTTCTTACAATTGATTCTATCTATAATAGATTTACTATTGTAATCTTATGGAGGAAACAATAAAGAGTATCTATTTATATTTATTTATGAAATTTGCTATATAAGTACTATATAGAATGTAAAAGAATATAGGCTACTATGAAAATAAAGTATATAAACAAAAAAAAAAATTCCCACTTAATCAACATATTCCGGTCACGTGAACTAAGTCACAGGTAGTCTACATTTAAAAATAAAAAGGCGGGAAAAGGTAGTCCTCATATAAAAATAATTCAGACAAATTTGGAATCTCCTCCTTTTTAAGTAGCTTAATAACGATTACATAATTTATTCAAATTATCGGACGCATTTTCCTTTTACTAAGTTCTTATAAATTACGGAATTTCACCTTATTTATATTTTAAATACAAAATACGTACCAAGACCATAAGCTCTTGTAACATGATTAATTCGACCTTATAATGTTCTTGTGATAAATGAAATCACGACCTTGTGTCAAGGGAGTTATGGTTGTATTTTCATTGCTGCAAGTTAGAATACTGCAATAAATCGATATTGCTATAGGACTTTATGGTGATCCTCTTCCTTTCGTCCAGGAATAGGGAAAAATAATATGTATAACGATGTACTCAATATAATATTTCCGTATAAAATTATTTTGTTCAATTATTACAGTATGATTTAAATAATAGAAGGTCATTTATTGAGATAAGAGCGAATATTATGTACAATCATATACATATATAATGTTATGTCTTTGTCGCAACACTACTAGTACCTATGTGATAATATTTGTATTCATAGAATACTTGTTTATAATGATAATTATTATGAATGGTAAAGGATGTTTATTTATTGCCCAGTTATTATAATTAATTAAATTTATGGAAAATTTTTAGATTAAATAAATGATGTAAAAATGATTAGTTTTATAGAATTTCTGTAAGACCTCTATATGTTTGGGAATATAACTATGTAGTTCAGTTTAAATATGTCGGTAGAGATTTAAGAAAATGATTATTCACAATCAATCCAATTATCTGGTCCCCAAGCTAGAATATGTAGGCAAATATCTGGGAGCGTAATCCAGAACATAGAAAAAAATATTTTCTTAAGTTTATTCTACCGGGAATCGAATTCAAATAAAAATATAGTTAATTATATAATTTTTGTTCTTACATTTTGTAAGATCGGATGTTCACGTTTTATTGTTTTAGCTTAAGATATCACTGAAGGGACGGTGTAGAGATCTATTTAATGATGTTTCTTTGTATGCTTGTTTGTCACTTCAGTGGAGTTAATAAAAATAAGAACTAAGAAAAAAATATTTAATTTTAATAAATATGTTTTAAAATTTGTGTCGAGTACAATGCAATGCCAAAAATCGTGGGTATTTTTTCTTGGCGCAATTGGTTTTTAAAATGAGCACGACATATTTTTTTACTGGCTTGCTTGCTGTCAACAAACTTTGTAATTTAAATACGTATAAAATGGTATTCATATTTGATAATTAATAATAAATTTTTACCCATCTGCTGAAGAAAGGAGGATAAAATTTTTATAACTTAATTAACCATTTTCACTAGGTAGACTGTCGAATTTGTTTGCTGCCCTAACAATAACTCATTTTACAATCAAACTCATGTGACTTTACCAACTTTTAAATGCAGTTTTATATTATGTAATTAACACAGCTTGGTCTAGCCTGATTGAAATACATAAATAAATAGTACAGCATAACTTTATCTATGAACTTTGATACTCCGATATATAATTGTTGCCATTTATAACATCTTGTATTGCATGATAGTTTATCGGTTTGCACGTCACAAACACTCGCACATAACAAACCAACCCATCTATATCTCAGTTATTGTAATAAAATCGACTTAGAACTACGTTCTTTTGTTATTACAATGCCCATTGTAATATAATTAATTGTAAAATAATTAATTGTTATATAATTAACTGTGTATAATTTTGTATTATAAATAAATATTCAGTCATTATTTTTGTGTCAAAATGTTCTCTCTATGTTTAAAAAGTGGATTAAATAATAGATTAGGAAATCGGTTCAAAGCTGTAACCCAATCAAGGAATTTCACAGTGAAAGGATTCGACTTGAAAGTAAGTATTTAAATTATTAATTTAAAACAATGTTTAATTATTTCTGAGAATATAGTAAGATTATTTTGTTCATGCCTATTTTTATCCAGCGGCGTGTGAAGAGGGTATCAAAGATTGAACGTAAAAAAATTTTATCATGATTTTTTAGAGTCTTTCCACACGTCTGTTTGTCATGCTATATATACATTATAATCAGTATATGAATAGGCTTTTTATTCATGGATTTCAGTCCTTATAGGTCTCATACACATTTTTTTTCGTATTTTATACAACTTAGTAGTATGTAGTTGAGTTTTGTCTAATTTTTTTTAAAGTTAAATTCAACGTATTATGAGCAACTTGAATGTTGAGTATATTATCGTTAGTAGTTTACTGGATTACTGGATGCTCAAGATATCGAAGGACAAATTGTTTTATGTCTGTTCAATGTTTTAAAAACCAAGAGTTTAAATTTAGACAACTTCGAAAGTTTTTATTTAAAATTTTAAAATAACCCTCCAATGGTGGTAAATATTTTTAACGTACCAAATGATGATTTCCTTTGGCGACCAACATGCTCGGCGAAATGTGGGCAAATCGAGTGTTACTTTGACTAGTCGTGAGCTTAATTATTTATTTTTCCAAGTTACAATAAGTCGTAAATAACTTGTTATCTTGTATATTTTATACACATTATGATATAATACTTAACAAAAATAAAACATGGTAGAGATTATCAGTAATACCTATTTACTTGTATGCATTTTAAATTGGATACATAATTGTTACATTAAATTATTTTATTGTCACACTAGCATTTTGTGAATTTCAGAAGTACGAAAACTAGAACAAAGAAAGAAGTAGAATTTCTCAATAGCGTATCACGATAAAATATATACCAGATTTGAAGTTAGATCTTCAGGAACACAATTGCGAAAACCCTATCCAATTTGGTGCAGCAGTTTTTCCGTGATGCCGGAACAAAAATACGGTTAAAACAGTCAAAATTTCAAAAAAATATTATTTGGCATCTATTAATCTTATTATCTCATAATAATTTTCTTAAATATTATATATAGACATCGTTCAGTTACAATTTTATTATAAAATTGTTGGCAACTTTAATGTTTTCGATTATCGCTAGTATTTAAATACAGAAAAGTTTAATTTCATGTATGTACTGTAATCCCTGAGGTGAAATCAGAACGCAATACAATATGCAGTACAGTATGCAAGCTACGGTAACAATTGGTCGGAGGGAATGTAAACCGTATATTTGGTGGTCACAATACAGAAAATAATAATAATTTGTTTTCATTCTATATTTAAATTATAACTGTAAAAATAATTGGATTGATTTACGTATTATTTTGTTGAGAGAATACTCGAATAAAACGTCAATAGGTTCCTATGTACGTGAATAACGTATGTACCGTAGTAGGTATATATAGTATAGTGCAGTGTAAATAGGCAACGGTTTATACCTTACATCAGGTGGACAGTCAGCTTGATTCTCTGCTGCTCTAAAGATAACTAAATCGAATAGTAGTTTTACCCAGATCACAAATAAGCACAACTCATCTAATTAAGGGAAAGGGTATAGGATGTTTGTTTGTTGGTACACAATATTAAGAGTTATTGTATGAACCGTTAACTGTCCATTGCTGAACATAAACTCCCCCAAAAGGGGGGTTTGCTAATAGTTGCCACATTATTAGGAGTATTCTCTGTAAAGTCATATTCTATGTAGCGCCTTGGAAACAATCGTGTTTAGTGAAACCGTCACGATGTGTTAATTGACCCGATTTAATCATTTTATGCTCTTCATTGCTTCATGATTAAAATGCCACTGATGGGTTTCATTTTATCTTCATCCATAAAAAAATTCTTCTCAATACTGTATCTGTGATTATAGACTTGAGATTTTTTTTTTATTTATTTAGATAAGTTATAGAAGGACAAGTATTGTATTTTGTTTTGATACCTCTATATCAGAGAACGACTATTACGATAAGTTACCTTCTTGTTTACTTTGATTAAACGAATGTCGAAAATATTTATGTTAAGGTTTTGAGCTTTAACGTTTAGTATTATCTTTTAAAAAATTTGATATCATTTGTACTGCGTAAAATATCCCAGTAGAGTGTGGCAGGTTGGGTAGATAGACTATTGGGTAATAGGTAATATTGGATTTTTTTTTAATGGGTGATAATGGTATGGTAACCCCGTATGCGCTATCGGTATACATTGACGGGGCACCAGTGATAGATGACTGATGAGGATGAAAGCAGGTCAGTTAGCCCATCCTGACGAATTCTACTACAATTAACCACGATGGTTTCCAGGAGGAACCACGTGGAGTTCGATCTGACAGGGTATATTGTTAGTAATGGAGCTATTTGACCCCATTACTAACAATATCTTTTCCCCCTAAGGTATTATTGGATTTGTATGGTGAGGAAGAAATACGTGTTTCCAATGTATTTTACCGTAAAAGATGACTTAAGGAATAAAGCCCACAACACCAGTTCAAAAGAATTAAAAATTCGAATTTTGTACCAAGACGCCTGAATTATTATAGATCATGTAATACGTACGTATACAAAAATATAGTTCTTTTTATAACAGAATGGTAAACAAGTTGACAGCCCATCTGATGTAAAGTGGTAACTGTCGACTATAGACATGAACAGCACCTTGAAATCATAATTGTCACCATCAGAATCTTCTTTTTTTAAGTGAAGGTGAAAATGGAACGGTAACTCCGCCTACACTTTCGGTATATGTTGAGCTGCTTTCGTTAACCCATCGTGACGAATTCTATTACAATTAACCACGATGATTTCCAGGAGGAACCGCGCGGCCGCGTAGATGTCGACCTGATAGAGTGTAATGCTAGCAACGGGTCAGTTAGACCTCATTACTAACAATCTCTTTCCCCCTATAATGTACAGATTATAAATATTCAAAACATTTAGTACTTTTAGTGTCATAAATCAAAGATGATTGCCTTTAAATCGACCTTTGTATTGATCATTAATCTATTAATTATCATAATTAATGACTCGTGGTTATCATCGCAGGTAATATCTTATCAACTTTGTAGATATGGCGTAACACGTGCCAAGTAAATTAAACCATTATAATTTAATTGTTACTTGTTTAAGATCAAACGATCCCTTCCAAGATTTTTAAGAATTTAATATCTATTTTTATCTTACTTAACTCTTGAGTATCGCTCGAGTATCTATTTATTTTCAAATAATTTAAAAAAGGGGAAGGTATTCAATTTGCTACCTTTTGTTTTGCAGAGCAAAAATTGTGTTAACCAGTACATCATTAATAAGTGAATTTAAGATTTTGGGAAAGCACCTAAGTAATTTATTAATTACATTATTAATATATACATTTAAGTATTCTGTAATTTGCAAAGTATTGTCAAAATCGGTTCAAAATAAAAAAAAAAAAATATATATCGTGTATAAAATTCACACAAAATATTCAGACAAATTGAAGGCTTCCATTTGTCTTCCGTTTGCATAAAACCAAATTAATTTTTTTCACAATTTGAGATCGTTATCTACAAAAAAAAAAACTGACTTCAATGTTTTTTATGAACTTAGATATTTAGATTATAGATATTGTTTAAAAATGGATATATCTTTTAAAAGTAATCAACCGACTATTTATTTTTACAACACCAGTAATTTTGATTTGAAAACTAAATTACTAAATCGATTTTGGTATAACTTCTATAGAACCAATCTGTAAGAGTATATATATATATAGTCAACAACAAACAAGTTACAAATCGGTTTATAACTGATATAAAAAATATACAACTGAGTTGAGAACATGTTTCTTTTTAAAGTCGACTAAATTATTAGTATTTACATATAGGAATATATTAACAGGAATACTTTTGATTAAAAGATTATAGAATCTCTTCGTACGAGTATATTGTGACGTCACATTAAGGTGAAAGGGTAAATTTGTCTCGTAGTAAATTTTTATCGATGACTACGCATCAAAACGTCCATCTATTCTATCGTCACTCATGTGTTATGGGTGTACTGAGGCGGTTCATATTTTAACAAAAACTTGAGTGACTCGTGATTTTTTGGAAAAAAAGCTTGTTTAGTAAAGAAAGACGTCAGTAATTAATTAATGGGTAACGGATGAATGATTACTACTCACTCACTGTCGTAAACAAAAATACTGTTCGTTGTTGTTTTTCTTTTGTTATTTGTTACATTCCATTTTTTTCTGTTAACCCACGTGAAACTTGTTAAATTTCCTACAAACTTCATAGAATTTCGAATGAAGTTTTCGCCAAGAATTCTTCCTTTTTATACCTTTTCGGCAGAAATTTGGGATTCCGTGGGCAAAAATAAATCTTTAGTTTCGGTCGCAATCCGGATTATGCTCCTACTTATTTTTAAATTTGAAAAAAAAAATTGTTTCAAATGAATTTTTATAAAAAACAAAAGAGTTTATTTATATATTTTTTGGAACGCGCCAATCTTTCGAACTACTAGTTGAATTTTATTTAGACTGTCAGTACTTGAGAAAGGTTATAGACAATAACGCGATACGATTATGAGCAAAACCGTGGAATATCGTTAGTTAATGTAATTACTAATTCTTAAACAACTTTGTTCGCCTGAATTAGGACAAAAGTGTATCTAAAGTTATCCTTATTATGTTAATCAATCTAGGATATAATTATATTAAATTTAAATCTGAATAGATTATTTCTATATAAAAAAAGAATGAAATTTGATAAACACTACTACTATATTATCAGGCATTTAAGCGTTATTAATAGACTAGTTAGATAGAACTATCATTACAAAATATCACACAAATAAACAATTATGTACAGTGCCTGCCCTACTTCCTATTACTATTATTTATGCGTAATTTTGTAAGAATAGATGGATATTTGTCACTAATTTACGTGGAAATTACTAAACAGATTTAAATGAAATTTAGTATACAGATAGGTTATATACTAACGT